CAGCAGAAAATTTCCAATGGCTGCCTCAACCATGGCTTTGTCCTCCCCTGCCTTTGCCGGAAAGGCCGTGAAACTCTCACCGGCAGCTTCCGAAGTCTTTGGAACCGGTCGTGTCACCATGCGCAAAACCACTAAACCTGCCGGTCCATCAGGCAGCCCATGGTACGGATCCGACCGAGTCAAGTACTTGGGTCCATTCTCCGGTGAGCCCCCGAGCTACCTCACAGGAGAGTTCCCCGGTGACTACGGATGGGACACCGCCGGTCTCTCCGCTGATCCCGAGACCTTCGCCAGGAACCGTGAGCTAGAAGTCATCCACTCCAGATGGGCCATGCTCGGAGCCCTAGGCTGCGTTTTCCCTGAGCTTTTGGCTAGGAACGGTGTGAAATTCGGAGAAGCGGTTTGGTTCAAGGCCGGTTCGCAGATCTTCAGCGAGGGAGGGCTCGACTACTTGGGCAACCCGAGCTTGGTCCACGCTCAGAGCATCTTAGCCATTTGGGCCACTCAAGTGATCCTCATGGGAGCTGTTGAAGGTTACAGAGTCGCAGGAAACGGTCCCTTGGGAGAAGCAGAGGACTTGCTTTACCCAGGAGGCAGCTTCGACCCATTGGGCCTCGCTACCGACCCTGAAGCTTTCGCAGAGTTGAAGGTTAAGGAGCTCAAGAACGGAAGATTGGCTATGTTCTCTATGTTTGGATTCTTCGTTCAGGCCATTGTCACCGGAAAGGGACCATTGGAGAATCTCGCCGACCATTTGGCTGATCCAGTCAACAACAACGCATGGGCCTTCGCCACCAACTTCGTCCCCGGAAAGTGAGCGATATAAGCTTGTTATGTGAGTGAGAGCAGAGAAAGAGAGTTTGTTTGTTATGGTTCCCTATGTAAATTTGTGAAATTTCCTTTGTGGTATCTTTGACTTTGTATCATTTATCAGAAATCGAACCTCTTTTTCTCAACTGTGTTTGGCATTTTATCGGAAGACTCAATTGAATAGAATTTATCCACTCCTATAAGATTCAGAACATCTAAGGACGAACAATAAGGCAAATGAAACTATATATATTAGAGAATTATGGCAAAATTACAACAGAGAAGAAGAAAACGAACAGAAGTAACCCTACTGCGACGATGCCAGTAAAGATGCCGATATTCAGAAACTTCTCTGTTTCTAACTAGTCAAAGGTGCTTCACTTGGCAAGCCTTCAAAAATTTACTGATGAAAACAAATCTTTATTGTCGATATGAGACGTGTTGTAACTATTTTAGCAACGTAGAAACCTCTGTGCAGCTTATAGATTCATGTTTTCCAGATTTACAGTCCCTCCTTGTAATATAAATGGGTCTACCGTGGTAATCAACTGTGGCTGCAATGGACCAGGAGGAGTACGAGGACTTGCATGTTTAGTGTGGGATCTGGAGAAGAATAAGAGAAGTTAAATATAAACAGAATGAGATGGCAGCCCCGGCGAGGACATTGTGGAGCAGCCTCTTGTCGTCTTTTGTGGGTATGAAAACAGACTTTAACGTATTGGTAAGCTCGAAAAGTCGGTGAGACACCTGAAGAAACAAAACAAGAGAGATAATTTTAAGTTACATACCGCAGTGCAGATAAAGGTTTTTTTTTTAAAATGGATTTGGGTATGGCTTTACCAAGACGTAGATGGCTGTGGTGAGCATGAAGTTGAGCATTGGGTATTCTGGAATTATGGATAATAGCCACTTAGGCTGTCCATTAGGCACATTCGATCTGCAGGACAGGCAATACATAGTTAAAATTTCATTCGTAAATCCTTTACCAAACTTACTTGTGAGAAAGGAAAGAGTTTCTTGCAAACCTTAACCAGATGTGAAACTGAGAAATATAGGTCTCCAGTGTTATCTTGCCGAGCCACCTAGGAAATCATGACAGTTGTCTTATTAGAGCTATGTTCAACTCTAAACACCAAGCTTGGTTGAAATGGACTAAGATTGAGATACATACGCAAATAGTGTCAGGGAGAAATTTCGGAGTTGTTGTGTGGAATTTCGCAGACAGATGTAGACACTGAGACAACAGATTCAAAGCTAAAGTCAGAATCCAAAAACAGGTACTATCTCAAGATTTGACGATTTGGTTGACAAAAAAAAGTTTTGATACTGACGTTATTGGAATCCATGACGTGTAGGGATGATATTTGTTGTATGTAACCTTGTCAAGCTTGTAGATGTATTCATACCATAGGTAACCAACCTGAGCAATAAGAGGAACACAAATTCGGCATCAGAATGATATAAAATACATAAGATCTATAAGCAAGGCGAAGCCAAACTCACGAATGAGGAAATTGCAATTATGCTTGTCTTGATTGACATCTTTCTCTTGGCATCACACTCCTCCAATTTCTCCATCCATCTTTCTACCTGAGATAAATATATTGAGAATAATGGTGGGTGATGTGAGAAGATATGAAGAAATCAACATAGGTTCAAGAGTTACAGTGGGATGGAAATAGGCATATATCATCCCAACGATCCATATGTAGCGGTCAAGTCCTGATCTGAAGTGCCATTCATGTAAAAGTGGTAGGTCAGGTTTAGCTGGATCGGTGTATCCTGCAGTTGTGCAAGGACCAAAACTAAATGTTACTCAATATGCATAAACACAAACATCAATGACTGAGTGGTATTCAAACATCGGCATAAAAATTGTTTTAGCACAAGACAGATATGCAGACAACCATGCCGAAATCAGTATAAGATATGAGATTGGCTAATACTGACCCAGTAAGAACGTTAGAGGACTCCAGAAAATCTCAAAAACTCCAGGAATCTCCCACATCAGGATAACCACAAGAAAGCACGAAGCAATCTTCAGAGCCATCACTGATGGTATTTCATTATACCGACTGAATATACCAAGGGCTCCATACACCATTAAGGTGAACAAAGTGTGCATCGGGCAAATGTAGTATAACATATAATCATTATCGAGAATGATGCAGGCAAACACCACAAATAAGTTAAGACGCCACATCATCTGAAAAGAAGTAGAAGTTTTCATAAGCACTTGAGTCATTGAAAGACACATGCTTTATAAAAGCATATATCATGGTAAACTAACTAATTGTGGCAATTGAAACAGTAGATCTGACCTGAGTGAATCGTGCTAGGGAGAAATCCTTTCTGACATAGTAATAAGAGAAGTTCCCAAAACCAGTCATCCAGACGTAGGCCGCGATGAAGACCCTGATTGCATTATAAATCTCAGCCGCAGCAAAGTAATGATACATCAGAAATAGAACCTGCAAAAACACAAAAACCATAAATTAGCATGAAAAACAAAAACATCGAAGGGTGATATCAAGAAGCTCAGATGTACGCTGTGAAGTAGAAGCGAAAAACAAATGAAAAGGTAGTAGACACGTACTGAGAAAAGACTGAATCAGTTACCTGCATCCATCCCTTCCACTCTTCAGTCTGGTGACGATTAAGATAGAGGATGGGTTTTCCTGTTATTGGTGATTTGTCAGTGTGTTTTTTCAAGGAGGTCATGGCTGACACTATGATGAGAAGACAGTAGAGAAAGAGGAAAAGGTCTCGGTTGTAATCCTGCAAATAAAAGCCATATCAAAAAGAAACAATTTTTAGACTCAGATTTTCGCTGTCTACCGCAGAACTATCGAAAGACATAATGTGAACTATATTACACATACATAGCACATAATTTGTTTCAGAACTTTAATAAACTGGTTGAAACTGAGAAATGGGAATTCGTCAAAGAAATTTAGAGGCGGCACCTTTTTAGACTCTCCAAGCAAGCTTGTTCGATCGCAAATATAAAAGTAAAAAAGAATCGCTCCAAACTCAGCCCTGACAGGAAGTAATGTGGTGATGAGTGAGATTGATGATCAGCACGAGTCCATTCTGATAGTTAAGGAACTTACATTGCTCTCAAGGTTGCTCGATTATCAACCAAGAAAGAGTCTTCCAGAGTCAGAAATCTACAAGTAGACAAAAAGCAAATGGTCATTTTGTTGAGAAAACACTCCACTAATAAAAGAAGAAACAGCTATAACTACCTAATCAAGTTTGTTTTGATAGGTGAGCTATAGAACTTTGTAGAGACTGATCTTGCAAGACCTCCTTCCAGTAAAACCGCTCCTTCATCTTCCTTGTTTTTCACCTCACCGAGTTCGACCAAATTATTATCCGAATGACTGCAAGTAAGAGGTAAAGATATTGGAAACCAGAAAACAGTGAGACAAAGCAGCCGTAAATAAGTACGCCCTTTAAAGATTATATCCCCGAATACATACACTTTAGAGTGCAATGAAGACCTCTTATACTCAAGAAACTCTGAGTATATCCATGCTATGAATACAGGGATGACTCCAAGCAGAAACGAAACCTGCATTATCGAAAAAGAAACTTAGAACAGAAAATCAAACCATCTCACAGGAATTATGTTATTCTGCCAACCAAAAATATGCATTACTTCATCCAAACTAAGTGTGAGTCATTTTTTAAATACAAGATTGAAGCAAAATCTTCGAAATTGAGAACTAATCCTTTATACAGCAAAATTTGATTTCTAGAGAACTGATCCAAATTATACATCTAATCATTCCACAATATAAAAATGTCGTAGTAGAAACCACATTCAAATTGCAAAAAACTGTATATGCCAAATCTATATATTGAAACTAAAGCTTTGAAACACCAGAATTACGCGTTACCGTACCTGGCCAGGCGTAATTGGAATCGAATCCGCCATATTGCTGGATCCACGAAGGGATCTTCAGTGATCAAAATAGACAGCGAAAGATCTAAGGTATCGAATTCGACCTCTCTCTCTAGAAGACAGGCTCTAAGGAATAGGATCCGAAACCCTAGGAATAC